CAAAGTTTGTCTGAAACTGTCAGGATACCCAAAGTAACACATCCAGCCTCCAACATGGTCCTGAAGGTACACTGCTCTGCATGTTTTGGATGTTTCTGAGATTCAGCACACCTGATTCAGATGATTGCAGTTCAGCAAAGCCTGATAATCTACTATTAATTGATAACAGGTGTGTGAAAGCTGGGAAACATTAAAACATGCAGGGCAGTGTGCCTTGAGGGCCAGGGTTGAAAAACACTGATCTACTGCACAACCATGCTGTTGAGTTCAAAGATGTGCAAAAGGCTCCATCACCTTTGCACAAAAATGTTTGCAAGAGAGGTAACATTTTTCTCTTATTAAATGAAACATTGTTGAATGTTTAAACCTGAATGGGTATAAGACCTTAATATTTAATTAAAAGTAATATGTAATGTGATTTAATTAATAAATGGATTATAAATAGATCAGTTGCATTTCCTGCACATGCCTTTATTACTGATAGAGGAGCTGGAGCATTTATCATTATCAAGGTAAAACTGCGCAATTTATCCTGATGTGGATTTGAGGTCATATCGCCCAGCCCTACATAGGGCGCTAAGCTAAAATAATATCCTATTATATTAATGAATGGTTCTAACCAGTTGAACTGATTCCTTTGGCCTTCTTGTGCTCAAATATCTGGTATCCATCCCTAGATGCATCCTAGTTAATGATAGTACCTGCTGCTGCTCGTTTCAATTGAAACTGCTAGAAGACGTCCACATGTTTCCTCTATGAGTTCAACTTGTCTCACATCGTCAGACTCTTTCTTGACTTCAGCACCTGATGCAGATCTCACTACATCTACAAGATTAAAGAAATATTAGCCCCATAACTTACAAATAACTCTACCCTTTAGAGCAAGCTGACTTTTTTTTTTATGTCTAGAGCCATTTTGTTACAAGATGAAATGCTAAAAATAATGAAAGATAAGACCAAATATTTCCTCATTAGGTTGACAGATTGTCTTTGAAATGGGTGCTATGGGCAGAGATTTAAGGGTGTTAACAAGTCATTACCAGTCAGGGGGCACTTGCTCCTTTAATACCTAAACAACGATCTCACCTTGTTTTTGCTCATCTTAATGACTGGCCACTACTGCACCAGCCGCTGCGGCTGATCCAACACCACTGTTGGTTCCTGAAATTGGTTCATGTTAACAACTAAGGTTAGCTGACCTATAAATGTCTTGCTGCTGTAAGCAGCAAGCAGCGTGATTAGCAACTAGCTAAGCTAATAGCTACTTCAGGGGCGCATAGGACAGCATCTCTTCTAGAGTGAACTTTAATTGGACTTTGCATAACAGGCGAGTGTGGTTCACCTTTGGAAAAGAAAGCTGTGTATAGCAGCCTCTCTTTCTTCTTTTGATGCCCCGAATGATGCTTCTTTATTTTTTTTTTTTAAAGAAAGCATGATGTTTAGCCCCCAGGTCATTCAACCGTAGCTCACCCACATTACATTTGCCAACCGTTTTTGTCAAATGGACTAAACCAAGCTCTAACGACACCATTTGAACTTCTTTCAGAAGTTTTATGTTGTGAAGCAGGTTACCAGTGGACAATCACTATACTGTCTAGACACAGGTTAAAACAGATGTCGAATTTACGCCCATGTCTGACTAAAGCTGTGAACAGATGTTTTCAGATGTGCTTTATAGTACAAGTTGTACACGAATACATAAATATTAGTAAGGGCTGTAGAGTTTTCACACTATGACATGGCATAGCGGTTTGTTTTTGTTGTGCTTTCATGGTTGTCCAGCTGTTCCTGTCTTATAATGCGACCATTTATTTTCTGGTCTTCCTCCTTTTTAAGTTCAGCATATACTGATGGCATTCTTGGTTCATTGCAGGTCTGCTCTTCACATACGGTGTCACAGGAAGTGGAAAAACTTTCACCATGACTGGCTCTCCAGGTCTGGGAGGATTGCTGCCACGCTCCCTTGACATGATTTTTAACAGCATCGGCCCCTTTCAGGCCAAAAGATATGTAAGAGAGCGTTAGGCAATGAATATATTTTCAGATTCCATATCATTTACAACTATATTTACTAGGTTGTTTTGTTCTTTATTTTGTTCAGGTTTTTAAGACGGATGATAAAAATGGTATGGAAATTCAATGTGAAGTTGATGCCTTGTTGGAGCGTCAGAAACGGGACAGCAATTTCACCGTCCCTAAAACTCCTTCCTCCAGGTAAAGGATGTGTGGCTAGAAACCAAGACAAAAAAATGCTTGACATCTGGAAAATACATATGGCTAAATATCGCTGTGGTGTGTGTGTAATTTAGACAAAAGGTCGACCCTGAAATTGGAGACATGCTCAGACCAGAAGAGGCTTGTAAAGCAGACAATGTGGATGAAGACAGCAGCTACAGCATCTTTGTCTCCTATATTGAAATCTACAACAACTACATCTATGACCTCTTGGAAGAAACGCAGGAAGATGCAATCAAGCCAAAGTGAGTTTCAAGATTAAACCATGTGTACATAAGTGTAAATAGTTTGTTTGGGTAGTATCATGTTTGACCTGTAGGGAATCTTAAAGGTATAGTGGAGGATGTTCTTTTTCCCGTTGGATCATCAAAATAATTGGTCCTCCTAATTGTCAATCATTCTGGTGATATGTTTACGTAAGGCAGCCCGTGTCCCGATTTTGACTTACCGGTGGTGAATCTGACATAGTGGAAAAATTGCACATCTTTTTTTGGAAAGTAAGCGTGTAAGAGCGATGCAAACAGCAACTTTTAAAGAGAGCATGCACGAGGAGAAATTGGCTTGTGCACAGTCTCACACCATGCATTTAATAGGGATTCCCTCTCTGGAGCATGTACAGAGTTGTGGATGTGCATTTTTTTTTAAGTGTAGAGGTAGGGTCTTTTAAAAAATGTGCGAAAATCCTCCACTATACCTTTTAATTAAAGTTTCAGTTTCCTGCCAGAGTAGCTTGAGGACAAAACTGTTGTGTTTTCTTTCTGCTAGGTGGAATGGTGGAGGCACACCTGTGCGTCAGAACACAGATTTCATGTATGTGGCTAGTGAATACTCATCCATTAGTCATCAGAGTAGCTGCCTGATTTAGCTGAGCTCTCCTGTTGCTTAAATATGTGAAATATAATTTAGAAAGGGCCTCCTTATTAGTTATGGTGACACTTTTGGAAGTTTAGCATAAAGTGCAATTTAAATGCAGCTAGATATTGATATTTCCTAAACAAAAACAACATAAAAGATACAAACTGATTTTCAATATTCTGAGCCTACAAGACTTCAATGTTGAGCAGTGTTTGACTATGAGGGGGGAAAAATATTATAGGTTTTGGCCAATACTTACATGATTAGTTAATGATTGCTAATTATCAGCAGTACTGGGAGAAAAGTAACATTCTTTAAACATAAAATTTCCCTGAAACATTTTTGTCAATTCATCTCTTACAATAGCCTCTTTACTAGATGTTGGGATATAAAAATTCTATATCAGTTAGAGAGTATCCCCATAGTATACGGTGAAAAACAAAAATTCAAACAAATACATTGAAAATGCATGTAGAATTATTAAAAAAAAAAGTAAATGTGTCACCACTAATAATAAATATTATTACCAGTTAAGTTTGATAACATATCAGTGTACTTATTAAAAATATCTTTATAGAAACTACACAGAAACTACAAAAAAAAGCTTACATATGTGGACGCACTGTATATACTGTATACCGTATATCCCATGCACCTTTTCTCCCTTTGGCACCTTCTTCTCTTTTTTAATATTGGAGCAGATTTAACGAGTAAATTTCTCCACTGTGAGATCTATTAAGTCAATCAATATGTGTTTAGTCTAGTCAGACGCATAAGTCCAGAATTATTACAAAATAAGAGTAAATTTGTAAAAGAGGGAAATGTTACCCTATTTCTAAAGATGGGATGATTTTGACAATATGTATTATTTAGTGCAAAGCTGTTAATGTAATTTTAACTTATTTTGAGAAATGAAAGTTCTCCCCTAAAATCGGGGTTTTGAAGCTCTCTTCTCTCTGTCCAAATCTGGATAGTTATGAAATAATACATTTGTGGAATTAAACTTTTGTTAGTCTAGATTTAAAAATATTTTATTTCTTATTTATATTGTAGAAGGTTGAGTGAGGTAGGTTTTTCAATTGGTTCTTATGTAAATCAAAAGCTTTAACTTGTCAAACTATAAATTAGATAACATTTTCAATTTAACAAAATATAATAAAAAAAAATAGAATTTTAGAATGCTTTGGGTTAAAAAAAAAAACAAACTAATCTAACACTTGTACCAGTTTTTTGTATTTGGAGCAAAACTGACGGTATTATACCAGATAAATAAAGCAACACATAAAACAATGGAATATCATTGGCTTGTTTCATATAAATAATAAATCCTAAATGGGTATTTTTTTTAAAAGAATTTCAAGAATGTGATTAATAAAACAGAACTTTTAGCAATTAGAGTTCAGACAAGTATGAGATTTTAAACAAGAGCACATGTAGAAATCCTGATCATTACAGTGTAAGGACTCTAAATAGTTTTTATTTTTATTGATCTTAGAAGTCCTTATATGACCCATTTTCTGTCTCTAATCTTTGCTTCGTGTCCCAACGCTCTATGGACTTGTTTGTTTTTTGGTTTGTTTTTGCTGCTGTTGTTTGTCGCTCAATCATTAATTGTGTTTGATGCTTTCTCCCACCTGCATGTCATTCTTCTTTTGCTTGAAAAACATTGATCCACTTAAATATATATATAAAAAAAAAACAATCTTTAACAATTGTTTTTTTTTTTTTTTGGTGTAGACCGCCTCAATCTAAAATCCTTAGAGAGGATCAGAATCACAACATGTACGTAGCCGGTTGCATGGAGGTTGAAGTCAAATCTGCCGAAGAAGCGTTTCAAGTGTTCTGGAGAGGTGAGTGCTTTTGTGGAGATCCATAAACAAGGGAAGCGACTGTGCTTTGAAAAACAGACTCTGCAGTGATGATATGTAGATGTGACTGACCTGGAATTGCTGGTCTCTGGATCGGCTCTGTCTAGGAAATGACATTTGTTAATCTTCTCTCTGAGCAGGTTTAAGATAACTTTTGTGTATTAGGAAAAAAAATAGTTGGGATGAATTTAAGCTGGAAACAAAACTGGTTTTCAATTTTTTATTTTTTTAAATTATACATTTTGTTTTTTGCAGGTCAGAAGAAGAGAAAAGTTGCAAACACTCGGCTGAACAGAGAGTCAAGCCGTTCTCACAGTGTGTTTATTATCAAACTGGCTCAGGCTCCTCTGGATGCAGATGGTGACAACATTCTCCAGGTGAGCTGCAACCAAACATCTTTTCCCAGAGTTGAGTCCATATTTAAAAATTCACCGCTTGAAAACCACACAAAAAATTTAGACTTTTCGCTTTGAATTGTCAGGATAAAAACCAGGTGAGTGTCAGTCAGCTGTGTCTGGTGGACTTGGCAGGAAGTGAACGCACTGCTAGGACTGGAGCTGAGGGCACACGGATACGCGAAGCAGGTTTGTTAAATGCAAACATTAGATTTTATTACCCTGATATTTTTTGTGCCATCTAACATGATTACCCACACAGGAAATATAAATCAGTCTCTCCTGAATCTTCGAACGTGCATGGAAATACTCCGAGAGAACCAAATGTATGGCACTAACAAGGTAAGTCTTTCCAGAATAAACGTAAACATAATTTAAATTCTATCCAGGCAGCTAATATTGGATTTCTGTTATAGATGGTGCCTTACAGAGACTCCAAAGTCACCCACCTGTTTAAAAACTACTTTGATGGAGAAGGAAAAGTCAGGATGGTTGTATGTGTCAACCCCAAGGCGGACGATTATGAAGAAACTATGGCAAGCACAGATTCCCCACATCCTGAATAAGTTAATGGTTGCCTTTTCCAAGCTAACTTCCTGTCTCTGCAGCTGGTGATGCGGTTTGCAGAGATGACCCAGGAGGTGGAGGTGGCTCGTCCATTGGACCGGCCCATCTGTGGATTCACCCCTGGACGCCGCCATCGAAACCAGGCTTTTAAAGAGGAGCGTGGTGCTCTGATAGACAACGGTAAGAAAACATCAGCCTAATGGATCAAAAGCACGGCTGAGATACAGAAGTAGGGCTGGGTATTTTCGCCAAAGTCATGAATCGATTTGATTTGATTAATACAGTTCTAAATCGATTAATTTCGATCTGTTTTTACAATAATGGAAGTGGTTCAACTGTGTTTCAAAAGACTCATGTATTTTATTTGTTTCCTGTCACATTAAACACAAAGTGCAAACTTGCAAATCAGACAGTTTAAGCTTGAGATGTGAACAAAACTGTCTCATAAGTGCAAACTTGTTTGTGAAAAAGTGAAGCCTCACTCGAGCAAGCAGACGTGACACAGCAGACATGCATGAGCTGCATAATCTTTACTACACAAACCATATGTGCAGCGTTGTCTGTAACAACTACAGGGTCATTGCTGGTCAGCCCCCATTTCTTAATGTCTTCAGTCAACCTGTTGGCTATATTTGCAGCTGTCTGGCTTGAAATAATCTTGAGTGCATCTTTCCTGCTCATTTGAATGTGAACGTCACACGCGTTACTATAAAACTAATCGATCTCATTCCCTAGACATCGATTCTGCAAAAATGTAAAGGAATCGAATAAATCTAATTTTATTTTTTTTTTTAACCCAGCCCTATACAGAAGTATATTTAATTGTATGTGTTTTGCACTATTAATTTGTCCCTTGTCAAAACAAAGAGAAATGTTTAGATAAAACCAGTTAGATCATACATATCTTAAAGAGTTATTGATTTCTAATGGACCTTTAGTTTGGAACTAGCCTATTTTTCATGTATTCCGTTTTTCATGTTTATATTTTAACATTTTTTTTATTATTGATTGATCAACAAATTAAAAAAGAAAAAAGAAATGAAAGGAGCCTGACTAGTCATTTGAGGTTCATTAGGTGCCCAACATTAGGTGTTGGGCTCGCTTTTAGTGAAAAAAAAAAAAAAAAATCAAAAACAATTTTGGGGCAGTTTCATTCTCTCAGCTTGGACCTGACTTATTTCCTGTTCCAACATTTTTATGCACTTTCACTAGCCTGCACAGAGTTCAGACACAAACTTGATGGAACATCAGTAGAATGAATTAGAGCAGAACCTTCTAGTCCAACATCAGTGTTTGATCTCTTCTAGATGAATGATAGAAAATCCTATAAACCTCATTGAAAGTCTCCCCAGTAGTTCAAGCTGGTGTGTTTGCAAAGGGTGGGCTGAGAGGGCATTAAACGGGGGGTCAAGACAGTAGTTTACAAAATAACAGGAATGAAAACGTTAGAGCTTCCAGTTTAACATAAAGTTGATCTTTGATTTAAAAAAAAAAAAAAGAAAAGAGATAACTTCAGTTTAATAGAGTAAAAGACCGTTTTATGGTGTTTAATTTGTTTTGTCTCTTTAGATGGGACCTCTGTTGTAAATGGTATGCTGCTGAGCCTACCTCCACTGCCCTCCTGTGAACTGACTGACCCGAACGATGAGATCACCCTGCCTCGGCTGATTGAAGCCCTGCAGAACAGACAGAGGATCCGGCAGATGATAACTGATGAATACAACAGAGAAGGTGTCTGCTCTTAGCTTCTCTCTCACAGGTCCAACCGTTTCTCGTTTTGGCTCACCTTCCACCTCATTCTCTCTCATTATAGCCAACATGATGAAGTCTATGCTTCAACAGCTGGACTCCAGCCTTGCTTCTAAAGAGAATTTGATCCATGAGCAGAATTGCAGACTGGCAGAGAAAGAGAAAGTGATCCAGAGCAACAAGAATGAGATTGACCGTTTAGAGAAGAAGAACAAAACGCAAGAACACAAGGTTCTTCTCTAACTTATTTAACACTGCCAGGTTTCAGATGTTCTTTGGTTTTCTAAATGTCTCTCTCGACTCTGTTTCAGATCGATATCTTGCAGAAAACAACTAAAGTCTATGAAGATGACAAGCGTTCCCTGCAGCAGGAGCTGGAAACCAGGGGGCATAGGCTGCAGAGAGAGCTTTCTGAGAAGAGACGCATGGAGCAGCGCCTGCAGGGCATGGTCTCAGACACACAGCATAAGTGGGAGAAAGAATGTGTAAGTTGGAACAAACTATTGGACTTAAAGATGATGTCATCTGGGATAAATATGGCGCTTTAACATTATTGCATTGTGCAGGAAAGACGCGTGAACGCCATGCAGCTTGAGATGCAGAACAAGCTGTGGGTAAAAGATGAAAAACTGAAACAACTCAAGGCCATAGTAACAGAGAGCAAGACTCCTGGTCGCCCTGATCCGCCACCGCGTCAGACTCAGACCAAGCCTCAGCGGCCATCCAGGGAGGAGCGGCCCCCAGCAAAGAGATCAGCATCACCATCGCCTCTTCCTGTATGTTTTCTTCCTACCACTTGGCTTCCTGTCTGTGTTTAATGTAAATTTGTTTTCAGTCCTTTAGAGTATCCCTGACTTCTCTCCTCTTTGTGACTGGTTCTGGGTCTGAGAATGTGGAGGTGTCCATAACCAATGTTTTCCTTTGTTCTTCTGATTGTATGTCTAATTCTGCATTCCCACTTTGCTTCTCAGAGCCCTGTGGAGTCTCCACAGGTCAGTCCAGTGTCAGGGTCACCTCCAGCCGCTAGAGTTGAGGAAGTTGAGATGAGCCCCAGCCCTCCATCCTCCCCTCCTGACAGGAGTTGTTCCTTATCAGTTCCCAATTCTGTCTCCTCGTTGGAGCAGCAGGCAGCTCAGCCAAACAGACAGGTTTTACAGTCCCCTCTTACCCCCAAAAGAACCCAGGGACCTCCTGGCTCTTCAGCACAGCGACTTAAGAGGAGAGGAGAGTGCTTTAGTAGACAGCAGGGAGACTGTATCCCCTTCCCCGTTCTGCTAGAAGAGAGAAGCAACAGGGTCAGTGATTAAACTGCAGCAGCATCAGGTTGAAGAATGAAACATAACTCTTTATGCTTTTTTGTTATGAAACTTCCTGGTTTTCAGGCTTTAGAATGTCTGTCTATTTAGCAGGATTATTGTTTTGTTTGTTCTTCTTTGAATCGTTTTGCTTGCTGTCCGATCAGACGACAACACCGGTGCGGCCCCTCCACCGTCGTTCCCGCTCTGCTGGCGGAGAGAAATGGGTGGACCACAAGCCGTCATCTAGCCTAGACCTGGGGACAGTCCTGCAGCCCGTCATCCCCAACGCCATCCAGGTGTCCACGCCCAACGAGAAGGCGCTGTCTAAGTGTGACAGATACGTTTTAACACACCAGGAGGTGGCCTCTGATGGAGAGATACAGACCAAACTTATAAAGGTAAGATAAATATCAACTCTGTTTGAGAGATACCTTTGCTTTCAGCTTCATATTCAGAGAGGCTTGAGTTGAATTTTAGAGTGAAATAAAGGAATTCTGTAAAAGAATGAGGAAATGTAGAAATATGTAAGGAAAATAAATGTTGAAAATTAGTGTTAATCTAATCATTTCTGTTTATATTATGCTGACAAACGTTTCAGTCAGTATTCCTGTAGGACTGGTAGTGTTGTAATAAAAATATAAATAGATTTTGGAGATATAAGTATTAACAAATGTGAAGAAAAAAATTATGCCGCCTTCATTTTACTGCATTTTATTTTTCTTCTATTCTTTACTATGTCCTATATTCCCACATTTGGTTAATGGTTACATGCACTAACCTCGGCTGCAGATCCCCCGACAATTTTAATCTAAAAAAAATGTGGCCAGTTTCTGGAGTTCCATGAAAGAACTTGAAAATGGTTGTTTTCATGGAAAAAAATATTTGATCATAGGGATGTCATTTTTAAATGTCTGACAATATTGTCCCAAAAGTTCTGCTTTTTATTTCTTTATTTTTTTCCCTTCCGTTATCTTATGCAGGCCAGTTAGTTATGCATCAGCCTGAACACTAAATTCGGCCAATCATATATCAACGGCCATCTGTCAATCAAATTCTTTCGGCCATAGCCTCTTGATTCATGTCGTAGCTAATATACGCAACGGTTGAAATAAGAATCATGTACTTTACCAT